CCTGTCAAGTACCTTCGATATTTCCTCAAACCTTTTTCGGAATGACAAGATCAGATATCGATGGATATTGAAATGACAGAGAGGCAAATTCCGAGAGCTCTCGATATATTTGGTTTGATATTCATCATAACTGAGCACTCTCAAATATATTTTGGAATGTATCATCAATAGATTGTAAACTTCTCCTTTTTTTTTTTTCTCACTTTAGTTTTTTCACTGTATTGTCCAATATATAATCAATTATTTACTTACATGCACGCATATACATTTATTTATATTTGTCGTTTTGTAATTCATTATGTTGAATATTACCTTCTAGCATTTCCTGTAATTGGGTGTATACCTGTTGGAAATAAAGAGCTATCTATCTATCTATCTATAACATTCTTACATGATGGTTTATATACTCATCTTCACTCATAGGTAAGCATGAAGGTAATGCAATCCGTTTTTCGAACATTTCGTGTATTTTTTACATGATTTAATTGATGCAAAAATGTGCTATCAATCTGTATAACGAACAATGATATTCCTCTTATGCTTGAATTGAAATATTGTAGTAAATAAAGTCACCATTTTCCTTCGAGTGAGCCTGTCAGGTTCCTTAACAATATCCTACTTTTGGGAGTATATAAAGGTATAGTTGGAAACGTGAAACAATTGTTCGCAAACTCGCAGTTCTCATAAACCTATTCCTTATATCATCATACTTGAGAGTTCACTAGAATAATCAGTAGAACCTGCAGACGATTTGATGTTGCAAATTCACCATCAACGATGATTAACAATTCAGACGAGAAAACTATCTGGCCAATCATGTTGATGGGAATGTTATGATGGATGTTATATCACTTCTCCCAGAACATAATTTGAAGAAATACCTTATTCTACAGAGTGAATACTATCACCAAAATTTATTATTAGCAGAAAAATATCAAGTGAGTGTACCTACTTCGACAACTGCCTAAGCTGTTAACAGTTCTAGCATCTATACTCAAGCGTGAAACAGATAAATATTGTGATGAAGTTCTAGAAGCTGCTGAATTGAAGGCCTCGTCTTCTGCGTCCCAAGGAGATTTTTATGGTGTCTGGATGTGTCTGGTAAGCACGGGTTGAAAGTGACCTCTGGAGAACAATGGGCTCCTGTGGTGTATTGACATAACATTGATATTTCAGTATCGAGAGCTCTCGGGATTTTTCTCTTCATCATTCGGATCATACGTTCTGACTATTTCACAATATGACAATACTCAGAACAATTCATAGATTGTACGTTTTTAAAAAAATTCGAAGTTAACGAGAACGGTTTCAGATAAGTAGGCATCGGAAATTATGAAGGAAACTTGACCAGTAATCAACGTCAAATTAGGAAATGCCCTTCTCTAGATTACAAATGAACTGTATTATACATTTGAAAAACTTCACTTTTCGGTCATTTCTCAATAGGGCATTTGAAAATTCCCATATGGTACAGAATTAGACCATTGATGGGACATCGATCTGTAGTTAGCCTGAACTTCCAGCTAACTGTTCCATGTGGTGCTCTAATCTTGAACGGTTTTCGAAGAATAAATGTTTTCGCAAATGGAATATGTATGTACGAATGCATGTATGTTTGTACGAATGTGTGTAGAAGAGAGCGATATCTAAACTGCGACCCATATCATCTGTCGTTTTCAGTGAATTACTACGGCGGTAATCATATTCTTCAAAAATTATATATCTTGAGAACAGTGATAGATAATTTGAAGAAGACTGAATCAGAAGTTTAATCAAACCGAATAAAAAGTATAGGTTTCTATACAGGGTGATTCAAAAGTAAGCGGCATCCTTTCAGAGGCGTATTCCTTGCATGAAAATAAGGCAAAAAGTTCCTATTGATAAGGATCCGAAAATGCTTCCTAAGGGAGCTACGGCCCTTTGAATAGGACACCTCAAAGACGGTTTTTTCTCTTTAACTTTAAAATCCTTCACAACAAATTTTTAAAAATTGGTGTACGGCATAAACATTCGATGGTAAATAGGACTCCGTATTCGAAATAATTTCCAAACGAAATCACAGTAACCTGAATATCCGGAGAAGAAGGGATATTTTTACACTTACCCTCTCCCGCATGTGACGCCCCTGAATGAAATTCTGAAATTTCGAATACGGTGTCCTATTTACCATCGAATGTTTATGCCGTACACCAATTTTTAAAAATTTGTTGTGAAGGATTTTAAAGTTATAGAGAAAAAACCGTCTTTGAGGTGTCCTATTCAAAGGGCCGTAGCTCCCTTAGGAAGCATTTTCGGATCCTTATCAATAGGAACTTTTTGCCTTATTTTCAAGCAAGGAATACGCCTCTGAAAGGATGCCGCTTACTTTTGAATCACCCTGTATTTGAAATGATAAAGTTAATCGCGACGTTTGGCACACCATTTATAGCTGGAGGACTAAAAATATTTCAGGTTAATTGGAAATGATTAATTATGACTGAATATCCATTTCCAAGTTTTTCCAACTACAAGTTGGAAAACTTTGAATGTATGTTCTACGTGATTCACCCTGTGTGTGCAACGAGCAACTATAGAACGACACCATTCCTCCCTGAGTAAATTCTGACAGAAATTTCTCAAACAAATATTTGGAAAATGAAAAAATAAATTACGCCTCACCCATATCAATTTGTTCCAATTGATAGATTGAGCAAATCATTATGGAACCCTGTCTTATCAAACTTTTTTCCATCTCTTAGAACGCAAGGAAGAAAATTCCGATAATGTTCGAACAACATCGTGGGTACCTAGGGAGAATAGGCAGAGGAGGTTAGGGGTGGAATTATTTATGGACATTTGGAGATTATAAGTTCTTGTGAATACTATTGGTGAGAGTTTTGATAAAGTGTTGTTCGACATATCCTTATGCCGAATCAGATATCTAACGAGAGACACTGACATCTATTCGAAAAACAAAACAATGTAATCTCGCGAAAGTCTGCTGGAGGTGGATAATAAGTGCAGGTGCGCGCGAACTCTCGTAGTCAGGTTAAGACATCACAACAAGGGGTTGCATGCCGAATAATTATGATAATTGACGTATTTGATTTGATGAAGGAGACAATCCTGCCTTGAATTGACTTGTCGAAATACTTGGATGAAACCTGCAAAATTGAAGTCCGGACACGACGCCACTGCCTCTTTCCGACAATGGTGAGGCTACTGCATTTGAAGCAGATAAGAAATATCTAGACATGATCCTCGATAGGAAACTCACGTGGAACACTGACTTGGAAAAGGCCTCCGACATAATGCCTCAAACAGTTACCTACGACCTGCCTTATACCGTCCTAATCCCGAATAGAGATGACTGGTTCCTCCGAAAAGATGAACAAATAAGAGCAGACAGCTGTTGGTTCACAGATGGATAATAAACACACACATACTCTGGTGCAGGTGTATATGGTCGCAGACCTAAGAAAGAGATGTCAACCTGTCTTGAGTCCTTTGCAACCAAATTTCAGGAGGAAATTCATACCATTAATGTGTGTGTGGAGGGATTGAAGAAAACCATCAACCTCACACATTAAAAAATAACAATATTGTCGGATAGCCAAGCGGCACTGAAAGCACTTAGGTGAAACCAAGCGAGGTTTCGACTGGTATCAAACTGCCAAAAGAGACCCTCCGCAATCGAAAGATTAAATAAATTATTGTTGGTCTGGGTTCCTGGCCACATTGGTATGGAAGGTAACAGACGGCAGATTCCGCAAGTAGTTCCATCGGACCGAAACCTGCCATAGCCATCGCACTACCTTTTGCCAAACATAAACGGAACACCTGAAACGCAAAAAGAGCCACAGACTTCTAGCAGAATCTATTTACATACATCCTCCGGAGAATGTTACAAAACAATGTTAGACTACAGCAGGGATGACCTAACCTCTCTAGCAGGCCTTCTTACAGGCCTCTTTCGTCTGCATTATCATATTTCAAGACTTGGGCTGTCGGATGATTCGACGTGCCGTCTCTACCATGGAGGGGATGGAACATCAGAGCATGTAGAAGTAGTAGTAGTATTGTGGGGAGGCTGTAGCCAAGAAAGTAGGCCCCAATGGGCCCTTTTTGCCAACCCCTGCTCTCCACAAATCTACACATCCCTCCTTCAGCTATCTTTTTCGAACCTTCTCGTCCTTCTGATGAAGGTCAGGATGTCCGTCAACTCTAATTCGACCATCCTTCCATGCGCCTCACACTCTCCGAGAAAGTGGAGTGATGTCTCCTCATCTTCTCCGCATTCACAGCAAGTGGGACTATCTTCTACACCTATGAGTGATAGGTGTCTGCGTAACCTGTTGTGCCCTGTCAGTACCCCTATAAGAAGGCGCAAGACTTGACTATCCCTACCAAGTATCCAAGCCGTCTTTGGCTTGCTTGGACCAGCCACCATCAGAGCATGTACTCTGTGCCTGTCCCGCCGCGACCCGAAGCAGATTCCCGTTGTTTGTCTGGGTTTCACTCTCGCCCTCGGACCTGAAAAATCACTTATAAACTAATCGGCTTCATTGAAAAGCTGGATCTACTTATTGTAGTATGGATTTGTATGAGTCAAAATATACCCGTCGCAGTGAAGGGCTGAATAGATCCACTCACTTATAACCTATCATTACCTAACAACAAACAACATAAAAATTTCCTCAGATTGAATAGTCTGTAACATAAACTTCACAAAACTACCTCCAAACTCATGGAATATCGACTAATACCAGGATAACTCAATTCACATATAATTCAAGGATAGCCCTGGATATTTATATAGGACAATGTCAATGTCGTTGCCACCTTCTGTGAGTCGCATCATAACTACCACAAATGAGCATGGACTGAGCAATAAGTCGAAGTGATTGACCTATTCACCATATAAAACACATATCAATTATTTTCATCGATTGTTGATCTCCCATTCCAGTATTCGGGTAGCCGAATGAAGAAATATCGCCAACAACAAAACTGGTACACGCCGAGGCCAGTCAGATTACCTCACATAACGTTACTCGAAAGTCGTACGTGTGTATAATAAGCAACACCAAATCTTTATTGCTCTCGGATTATCATTTATTCGCGCAATGAAAGCACAATAATAATTAACTTTAACTGCAGCCCATCTGACTTCGATAAAATCTGTGGAACTCTGTAATTCGCGTTAGTTGTGTTATATTGAGAGGACAAGCGGTAAATAGATTGGTGTCGTGTGTGATTTTTTTGTGTGTTTCGATTTGGTAGTTCCGATTTCGGTGAAGTAATCTTGAATCGAGAATCGAACGAACAGTGATTCGCAGGCGGCCTGTCGTCTGAGAGAGCCGTGAAACTGGTTACTGGGTTACTCCTCAGGCGATTGTGTAAGTATCCCCTATTGAAACTCTTTCGTGGGTTGAGGTATGCTGGGTAAAGATGAGCATAATCGAATGCATTTCACAATCGAATAGTTAGTACTCGATGATAATCGAAATATCATTCGAAGGATCGATCGCTCCGATAGTACTTGCGAATCTTATTCACAATCCCTGAGAAGAAACCTCCAAAAACAATCTGATCAAACAGTACCTGAGTGATCAACTATTCCAAAATCTGACAATGTTACTGTTCATTTTTCATTTCTATCTCAAAGAATATGTTTCAGTTGCGTCATTCATATTCATACTGTTCTGTTTCATATTATTATCCTCATTATTTTGTTTTTTTTTTGTCATTTATTCATCAGTTCATTCAGTTCCGTGCTCGTTTTGTGTTTCGTTATTCGCGATATGATTCGAGCAATCCACTTGCCCCTTTGTCGCTATGTCCCGTTCAATCATTAAAGTGATCCGAAACATCCGAATGTTCCGAATCATTCGAAAATTCTTCGTATCGCCCGACGTGTTTTCAGTGTTCACCGTTAGCGATTCGCTCGGTATTCGTCTTTGTTACACATTCATCATGCTCGAGATCGCATTCGAGTGATCCGAATCATTCGAATGATCCTGGTGAAGTACACGAGACTTCTCGAGTGATATTAATATTCAAATGATCGATCATTTTTCATTCGGATTCGCCAATCACTAATGCTGCGTCTCTTCTTCATCAAGACGTTGGTTGACCAAAAGGTGACGCATTGGCCAGGATATTCCCTGATTTGAACGGTCTATCCAGGGATGCGGACCCGATTTAAAAATTACTCCAGTTTGTATCTGGTCCAATGGAAGCCGACAACAAATATGATAGGAGAAATGACTATGAAAATCACATTGGGTAATTTTATAAACACGAACTTCTTTCCTCATGAGTGGCAAATTGTATCATGTGCAAGTGTAAGATTTGTATCGAATTTTGACGTATTAGTGAATATATAAACTGAACTTAACGCAAACATGAATTTTGCACACTAAATTTTGTCAATATCGCAAGACTCACTGCATGTGGAATAGATTTTCAGGGATTTATGTCTCCCAGTTGAACTTCTAATTGATTTCATTCATTTAAAAATTTTGAAGATGCATTCCACATCAATGTTTTGACTTCAACATTCATTTATTCATCTATTCATGCTCTTCAACTGGAAAAGGGTAATGCCACGGTGGAGGAGGATGCATGAATATTTACAAATTATTAGATAATTACGAAATAAAATGAAACGGAAAAATCATGTGCGAGCTAATCTTATTACTAGGTACCATCATTTACAAGCCTAGCGATGTCGGATATCAGAAAAATGAAAGAAAGAGAAAGAGTCCGTCAACATGCGAATGCAGCTAATCCTGCCAAGGTCCAAGAACTAACTGATAGTGGAATTATATATTTGTTGGTCAGGGTCTATTCATGATGAGAGAGGCGCTGCAACGAATTCTCAATCTGCAACCATCGATATTTATACTTCAATATAATCTTACATATATGTATAGTATATGTATATATGTATAGTATTCAAATGATGATTGAAACACAATTCTATACAATTTGGCGAATAAATGATGTTTCCTTCGAGCATCGCGGTATCTCTTCCACTGCAGCATCTCGCATCGAATATAAATATTTGAAAAATACCAAAACAGAGCTATAGGTACATACATATCTGTACCAATTTCAATCATTGGAATATACAACATATGTGTCTGAGAAATAATTAGAAGAAGCTTGATTATTTATCATTCACTCAGGAAATAACGATGAATCAGGAACACTTGAAACATATCTGTACCGATTTTCTTCATCATCATGATACACAGACTGACCAAAAAAAAGAATTTTTATTAAATTTCAATAGGTGATCAGAAAATGTAGTACTTAAAGAACTTATAACACATATTCATTGGGGATTAAAGATAACTTCAAACATATCTGTACCAATTTTCATCATTCGAATATAAAAAAATATGAAAAGGCTATGTAAGCAATGTTTTTAATCATGATCATTCTTCACCCATAAACTAATGATGAATCAGAATCACTTAAGACATAACTGTACACTGTACCGATTTACATCATCATCAAATATAGGGTGTCCGGAAAAAGAAATCATTATTTTTTCGAATTGATGATGATATATTGCCAACTCATTCTCTTTCATTAATTTGTTCTAATACACGTCGAATATCTGGATGAAAAAATCGCTATGAGCATGTTCAAAGTAGTCCTCGATTATAATTTGTCATTGGTTCTTTCCGAAAATACGATACAATACATTTTCTGATCACGTATCAAGAAAAAATAATGATAATCATTATCTTTTTTTCGGTTTTTAATGCTGATGACAAATGGTACAAGTTTGTTTCAAGTGATCCTGATTCAGAATTCATCATTGTTTTCTGAGTGAAGAATTAATATGTTGAAAATTATTTCATACACGAAAACTGGAAAAATGTTTACTCCTACTTTTCAATTCTTGTTCTCATCAGACATAGAATCCTCCATAATAATATGTCATCATTTCTTTCAGAAAATACCAAAATACCTACTACATTCTCATCCGGAACAAAATATTAGATAATTTTTTTCGGCACACTATGTTTTCTGATGATGGAAATCGGTACAGGTATGATTCGAATGATCGTAATTCAGAATCCTTCATTATCCTTTGTAGATGGAAAATCCCTAATAGTACTTTCTGAAATAAAAGTCGATGAAGTTGGTCGCAGTTGGCCATGATGAGAGCCCACGAATAAAATCACTCTCTTGTTGGATGGATATTTCAAATACATACCCAACAATAAAAAGAGTTTCGAAATCGGTCAGGTAATAACGATTCAACTGGGGTGGTGTGTCCTTGACGTGGACACACTGTATTTCTGAGAATATTTCTTCCCAATATCATAGATTAACGGTTCAAATTTTCCTCTACAGCCCTCTCTGATCACACAAATTCGTGATTGGGTGTTCTCAATTCAGAATTTTGCTATTGTCATGAAAATCAATTCATCTAACGAGATAAGAAAATTTATTCATACAATCATTATGACGTTTTCAAATAAATCGTGGTTCGTGAATTCATAATTGTTATGGTAAGGTTTCTGGTGGTATAACTGCATTTCTCCTTTTGATGTTCTTTGGCAAATTGTGAACTTATAGGTGCATTTCATGAAATCAAAATGATATTTCACAAATGAATTAGATAACTGACCTTACCTAATCCAAGCTAACTTGACCTGATCGATCAGCTACAGGTGGCGCCTAACATGCGGTTAGAAGGTCAGTTAGTCGACCTTCTCTAAGATATATCAATATCATTCATTTTGTGAAATTCATTTTGAGTATTCACATCTGGTGAGACGAAAGTGAAAGAAAGAGGATGAAATCATTATACCACCAGACAAGGAGATATCGCTTCATAAGATATACTATCACACTGGCAACACTGGTTATCTCTGAGTATACTCTAAACAACGCGTGCGTGCACACCAGAAGAAAAATTTCAAAAATGAATATATAACATGTTTGTGATCATCAAATAATTGATTTATAACATAACAATAATATCTAAGTTTATACTCATTTATCATTCACCAGAGGATTTGTTACTGCTATTTCTTGTAATGATCTTTCTCCAATGATAAACAATGCATTCATCACGCAATATCGATGAATTGGTTCAATAATTTTCAATGCATATCAAGAACAATAAAATGTAGTACCTTATTGTATTGTCGGGAGGATTCTGCCAGCCAGGTAGGCCAACATGAGCACTCTTTGCATAATCATGCCCTCCACATATAGTTATCTTTCTGTACGTTCATAAGCTTCTGATGTTCGTCCACTCCAATTCGATCAAATGCTCTTATTGTAGTTCGCCCACCCTGAGGATTCCAAACATATACAGGGTGAAGTTAACGGTTCTATCCCCTTCTTGGACTTAAAGATTGATAGATCTCACAACAACCTCACTTTCGACCAGTGCTGCCAATGTGCGGAGGATCCTCCGAAAAGGGGTTGTTTTTGGCGTTAGAGGTTTTTTTGGAGGAGGATTCACACAAAGCGGAGGAAAGGGGTTTTTTCAGCCATCATTGTAATTTTGTTACTCAACTTTAGTTGAGGCTTGCGCGTGCAACATCTGTCCATGATCCAATCATGATCATGATCGAACCCTCCGTGAGTCTATGAAGTCGGAGTCTGTGTTCTTGTTCTGTGCTTCTGTGGTGGTAATATAGATAGATAAATAACCGTCGGTTTCGGTTTTAGTTCTGTGGTCGGTCTCAATGGTGTGAATGATGTCAAGTTTCGTCATAATCTCATATACCAAATATTAGTAATTAGTATAAATCTCTTTTACACTTTGACCACACAACCAACAATCAAAGAATAATGACAAATAAAAATAACAGATTTTTTTAATATTTCCAGTTGTATTTTAATTACTCATTGGCTCATTGTCATCATAATAATTATGTCTCTTGCTAAATACGGATTCGGTAAATTATCGCACTGAAAAAATGTTCATACTCAAAACCAGTGTTTGGAAAAATAAGAAATTCAATGAAATCTTTTTCTAACAAATGTGTAGTTTGTTTTTTTTTCGGTTTGTTCCACGTATATATATGATTGTTCGGAAATGAATAATTACATTTATGAATATATATATATGATTGTTCGAAAATGAATGATTTAATTTATCAATCATGTCTTTCATTCAAGCATGATGAAAAAAGATTCAAAAGGTGTATTTTGAAAATAGCAATTTATCCGCAGAACATAGAACACACGTCAAATTCAGTTAAACTTGTCGGGAGGAGGTTTTCGTTCATTTGCGGAGGATTTCACGTGCTAAAGAGAAGGAAGGACTCGAATTGCATTGGCAGCACTGCTTTCGACATTTACAGAAAGCCCACCCATACAGACACAGCTATACCGTTCAGCTCCAATCACCCCTATC